AACAGGGGGGCTGGCGGATGAGAAAAAAAAAAAAAAAAAAAAAATACAAACAAGTTTGTGCACATGAGAAAACACAACCTGAAATGTGTTTAAATAACCTGCTTCATCTCAGAGCAGGAAGGAGAAGCGGGAACACAGCGATGTTTTGAAACGGCCACCCACTGCAGCTCGCCTTTTGGCTGCTCCTTGCTCTCGGCCAGATTTAGCCAAACAGGGAGGGTGAATCCACGACAAAAAGAGGCCAAAACCGTATTTTTGAATGCACTGACAAACATACTGGTGACCCCACCATTAAGAAACTGATCCGAGGAATGTCTGCAAACCCTACGACCACGTTCTGCTCACAAAGGCAGCACAACGCCCAACAGCCGTACGCAGATCTCAAAGAAAAAGCTGTTTTCAGCCGTACGTGTAGGAAGAGCGAACACCAGCGCCTGGCTGAGGAGCGGATGCTGTCAGAACCTGCATCTGGCTTTCAACACACCTTACCATTTCGTCACTGCAGCTGGGTGACTAATCCCCAAAGTCGACTAAACCCGCGTCGCTGGCGGCTGGCTCCTCGTTCCGACCTGACCTACTGTGCTTTATTGATAATCCGGTTTGGATTTAGATCTCATTTGCCCCTGGTTTATACTCCACCGAATACGGCTCACCATCCGTTAAAGAATACGTGCGCAAACAAGAGCGCCTTGTACAGCCAAAGCTGCCTACGGGGCGCTTTCCTGCCTCCCGGCTGCCCGGAGCCGAGCTCGCCGCCTTTGTACGCGTGGGCACAGCACGCTGACGTTCAGTTCTCGGGAGTTTCCTAACCCACCACACCAAACCAACGCACCGGTTATTTTTTTATTCTAATGAAAAACTGCAAGGAGCAAGTAATGGCCAGTGCTACTGCAGGAAGGGTAATTCTTCAAGTCTGTACTCGATAAGGTTATCTTACCTTGAAGGCAAGGTTTAGAAAGACCAGAAAAGCAGAGGATATGGTTAATACAATTCATGCGTGTCAAAAAAATGGCCTAAGTGGATGTGACACGTGTAAGGAGAGTAGAGAGAGGAAAGGAAGACGGGGGAAGGAAAACAGGAAAGAGCCCATTCGAAAAAATGTTCATGCCATGAATGAACATGACGAAAAATATGACAGATCATTAGGTATCCTAGTCAGCATCCCCTTTAACCTGCATTTCAGTGCCAGTTCTCTACAGCCAGCGAAGAAAAGGCGATGTGAAAGGGCAGAGCGCTCTAATACTGAGCACCTTGGTCTAGTGGAAGGTGTCCCTGCCCATGGCAGGGGGGTTGGAACTGGGTGGTCTTTAAGGTCCCTTCCAACCCAAACCATTTTGTGTTTCTGTAATACTGAGTTTTTCTCCTCAATACCAGACTTCCAGAAGTGACTGGTCAGAACATGTCCTTTCCTTCTGCTCCCTGTTTACACATTCGGCTTCTGGCAGCAAAAGCCCACACTCTGCCTACAGTCTTCGGGGTGGGGAGGGAAATCGTATCTTAAAAAACCCGGAAACTTTACTGACCTCTCTGCCTGCAGCCACCACAGCCTGCTCCGCATGAAGTGCTGCTGCACTCACACAGAAACGGGCTCTGAAAGGCTCTTCCCACTCACCGCCCCGACGATGCCTTTATTGCCTCCTTCCGAAAGCCTAACACGCACGCCTCATTGTAACACACGCACACAGACCTTTACTCTTTTGCTGCAGGAGATCCAGCACATCGATGTAACACGCTGCCCGTGTACCAAGAAAATCACCCAGCGAACGCCAGCCGGAGCTTAGTTCTTATGTCGGGAAAAGTGTACTTGGGTTGCCATTCATTAAAAATGATTTCATGTTTATTTTTTTCAATCCGAAACGGAGGGGGGAGGCTACCACGGTATTCCACTGCAGCCCCGGTCCCGAGTCGCCCCCCTCGGCGACGTAATCCGCCCGTTACCCAGACCCAAAGACACGCTTCGCTCTGCGCCGCGCCCCTGACGAGGCCCGAGGATAATCTGTGACAATCGTCTTTGCTGAGAGCGAGGGGGGCAGATGGGGGGAGGAGAAAGGGAACATAAGGGGGGGATGAAAGAAAACCGAGAAGGAGAGCGCCCTGAGTATTCAAGGACAGCTGCTGGGAGAGGAAGGTTTGCATTTTCCGTGCCCCAACGTGGTCCTGTGATTACACACATCCTCCGGTCCCCCACCGCGAAGATTAATCTGTCTAGTGATCCGACCCAGCCCCACCCGTTGGCGTCTCTCCGAGCTGCTCCCGTCTTGGCAGATGCTGCCGGGAGGAGGACCGCATCGAGGGGAGAGGAGGGGAGATCTGCAGTGCTGCATCACCAGACGGGCTTACTGCAGCAGAATAACACATTACAGGGGAAAAACACCGCGTTCCGGGGAGCCGGGGGGGGGGG